AAGAAAAGGAGATGGAGAGAGGAGAGGGACAGGGCACGAGGAGGGAGAAAGAAGACTGCAGCGGGCCTGCCCGTCCTGCAGATAATCGTGGTCGCCTGCGCGGCGTCGAGGCGCCCCCGTCGGGCCGCGCGCGCACCATCGACGAACGCCTGCGCAGCGAGGGCACGCGCGTGCGGACCTGCCCCGCGCGCGCGCGCCTGCCAAGCGATCCACGTACACCTGCAGGACGCGCGCCGCGCGCGTGTGCCTGCTGGCCGCGCGCGGCCTCCCGCTGCACCCCCCCGAGGACTGTGCCCACGAACGGAGCAAGCTTGTGCGTCCACCAAAAAGCAATACGCGGAGCGGACGGGAAACTCTCCGGACAGAGTCAGGGGAGAGAGGAAAGTAGTATTCGCATGGTCGCATGGTGCAATGTGGAGAAAAGGGAAAGGGGGAAGGAGGAGCACGCAGCGGCGGCGGCAGAACAGCAGCAGCGATGACCCGCGGGAGTAGGAGGGAGAGGACAACTCTCATCAACGACGATGCTGCAGTGAACAGCGCCGTCCCAATGATTCCCTCCAAGAAGCCATCAACGACACCGAGCGTATGGCACCGAGGTTCCATGCCTTCGGGAACGCCCCTGGTAGCACTGATGTGGCGGCCCGCGCCAACCACCTCCGCTCCTGTCACATCGGTAAGAGCACGGGCAATGGCACAGGCAGGGGCAAGAACAAGTGGTGCATCTTACTCTGAGCTGTACCCGATTGTGTCATACTCCTCTGTTGCCCTCCTCCGCTCGCCTTGCATTGCGTAGCTGCTGATGTGAAGGGGGGTCGGAGGAAGGTGGGGTTCATGAGCGATGAAGCTCGGGGCTTCCAAATTGTTTACGTCTTCGTGTAGCCCGTCAACGTGTAGTCAGAGGTGATAGCGATCCGAATTGTTATGCATTAGTTTCGGCAAGTCCCTGTTTGGCCCCGTCGGCTATCGTTTCCGCTAGACATGATCGGTGCCTCTGCAAGCATATCATGCAAAGAGCCCGGGCGTGACATCAACCCAGGATGCCGGACGCCAGATGCTGCGCTGCTGGCCCGACTGAATGCAGAGCAAATCGGAGATCGACGGGCGAGAGCGAAGTGAAGCGGAGAGCCTCCCACTGGGAAATCGTTAACTGCATATTCTGGGGAACTTCCTGGAGCCACTCGCTCCACTCATGCGTCGATGCTGCGTAGGAAGTCCGTCGACCTGAGTCGAACTTGAGTCGAACTTCAGCCGATCTCGAGCTAGAATCGAACTGGAGCCAAACAATACATTAGATCTAGAGCCGAACGGATCCGTCGGGTGCCCCCCCCTAGGAAGGGCCCGACCCGACCCGCCCGTCAAGGTTCACGCGTGCTAAATTGATGCTGCGTCATACTTTAATGTCCCGACCAGACCCGACCCGCCCGTTAGGGTCCGCCCGCCTGACCCGACTCGCCCGATATAGGGTCCGCCCGCCTGCTCGCCTTCCTCCGCATCTGGATCCTCCACGTGCCCAGCGAAGCGAGCCCCGGCGAATCAAGCCCCGGCGAAACGAGCCCCGGCGAAACGAGCTCCAGCGAAGCGAGACTCAAACGAAACGAGACTCCGGCGAAACGAGACCCTGGCGACACGAGACTCAAACGACACGAGCCTCCGGCGAAACGAGGCCCCGGCGACACGAGACCCCGGCCAAACCGAGCCCCGGCGAGCCGAGCCTCGGCGAAGCGAGCTGGGCGAATCGAGCCGGGCGAACCGCGAGGCCCAGCGAAGCGAGCCCCGGCGAAGCAATGCCCTGGCGGACCAGGCTGTAGCGGGCCCCGGCGAACCGAGGCTCTGGCGAATGACGCCCGTGCCGACATGCATATCTCTTAGACGACCCTTCCCATGATAAGGGCGTTTCGTTTTCCCCCAACCAACCCACCCCAGTTGAAGTGTTCAGGCCGACGTTGGTCGGAGTACTGCGGGGCTCCCAGGGGTCTTGGGGGGTCCCAGGGGCTCTCGGAGGCACATCCACGTCAGTGGAATCAGCTCGCAACGCGGCTCGCATCGTGAGCCTTCTCACGATGGCCGACGGTCGCACAGACCAGGCCGCGGACAAGGACGTTGGACTTGCATGTCGATTGCAAGCGGATTTGCAGATCGACTGCATGTCGATGGAGTTTCATTTCGATGTGCATGTTGTTTGGATTCACATGAACATTTCGATGCTGATGTCGATCTAGCTTCCGATTACACTTGGGTTCGGATGTCGGCTTGCATGTCGGTGCTCATTATGACTTACATTTACATGTACAGTTCGACGTGCATGTGTATGCGCATTCCGAAGAGCATCCCCATGTGTGGTCACAGTACATTCCGATTTGCATTCCAATGTTCATGTCGACATTCGTTTCGACTGCAATTGCATATACTGTCCGGTGAGCGTTCTCATTCACAATCCGATTTGAATGCCGATGTGCAGTTCAGCTGCTGGTGGATGTTCGTCTCGATGTGAATTTCGTGTTGCAGAACAATTCGCATGTGGGCCTGCATGTCGGTGTCAACTTCGACTGGCGCTTCGGATTGAATTCCCATGCGCATATGAGTTAGAAATGGAACTTAAATTCAAAATGTGCAGCTCCCATAGGACAGAACACTGGGGACAGCCCACGGGGCATGCACTCGACAACCCACGGGTCAACCCACGGGCCACCCACAGGACAACCCACGGAACAGCGGCGGGACAACACCCCAAAAGACAACCTACGGAACAGCCACGCGGCAACCACGGCGAAGAACCGCGGCGAAGAACCGCGCAACCGGCGGAGAAACGTTTGGCGCGCGTCGGCCACAGCTACGCTGGGGTATCCCGGTCGGGGCCCCTTCGCTCTCGCCCCCGAACTCCGGAAGACAAACATGACGAGCTGAAGTCCTGGGCAGCATCAAGCAATTAGACGGGCCAGACGGAACAGAGGGGCAACGCTTGCTATAGAGGCTATCCCAAGTCCAGCAGTCGGAAGAGGCATAAGTGTAAGATGTGGTAGACGATCTGTGTTGACAAGGAGTGAGGAGAGGTCGAACAGTAGACCAGGTAGAAGAGCCAGAACTACAAACAACTGCTCGGTCACTTCGAATGTTACAAAAAGTCAAAGGAGTTGGGAGAGTTAGACGAATCAGACGAGTTACGAGAGGTATAACGGTTTGCGGGTAAGAACAGTGAGAAGGGTAATGCGACAGATTTTGATTCGAAGAGTTTGGGAGCGCCAAGGGAACACAATGCCAGTAGCTTGGCCAGACGTTGGCCCAACCTTTGGCCGCATGGGCGATTCCAAGAAGCAGGAGGGGCGGCAGGGTTCACCGTAGGCCCCTTTTCTGTGCTAGCATACACATATGTGTACCGAGTATGCATCAGCCGGCATACACCTGTGCATGCATATGGGGGTGTACGTAACTGTTGTCACAACATCTATGATACATGTCTGGTATGTAATGTACTGCATGCAATACCTACCAGCTTCGAAGCGCCCGACGAGTTGCTTCAGCTAGAAGAACATATGTGGTTCCAACCTGGAGCGAAACACACATCTCCATCCGACAGCTGCACCACGCCACACGCACACACAAACACACACACAGACACCCGAAGGGTGCTCTCATAGGTTTCCTCCCCAGGACGGAGGAAGGACGGAGGACGGGGGACGGAGGAGCAGGAGGAGGAGAAGGAGGAGGAACAGGAGGAGGAGGAGGGACGAGCAGGGACGAGGAGGGAGGAGGAAGGAGGAGGAGGGAGGAGGGAGGGAGGAGGGAGGAGGGAGGGAGGGAGGGAGGGAGGGTCCTCCTGCTCCTCCTCCTCCTTCTCATCCGCCTCGCGTCTGCTCGCTGCCTCCGCCCACGCCCGGCGCCGCCTGCCTGCGCCCTCTCGCCCTCGCCCCGCAGCTCCTCCTCCTCCACCCTTTCCCTGCGAGCAACGGCGCCCCTGCACCGCACCCTCTCTGGACTCCCTGCAGTAACCAGCTTCGAACGTATCCCTATCCCTAAGATGGGCGAGCAAAAGGCGAGGACAAGTTTAGGGATAGGCCCTCAGAAACTGAGGGAGTCCTCAAGACCGGCATCGAGGTGAGGTGATGTCAAACATAGGGATAGGAATATGTTTCAAACTGGTGATGCAGGGCCCGCTCCGCCGCGGTGCGGTGCATAGCTTTCTGGCCCTGCGGGCCGAACAGCTCTGCACCGATCCACATCCTGGGTCGAGCATCGACGACGCCTTGGGAGACGCCAAGGCAGCACGGTGCACCGATGTCCTCCGCGGAGTTCCCTCCTTCCGCAGCTCTGCCAAGCTTCCCCTTGCCACCTGCCCCCCTGGCTGCAACATCCCAGACAGCAACCCGATGTCCTGGGGCCCGGTTCTCTCGGGCGCCTGTCGCGGTACGCGCTCCTCGGTGCTGGGACGTCCATCTCCCGTGCACTTTTCGGTTTCGTGCGTGTTTTTTTTGCTCGATGGTCCAGGATCGTCCTCAATGGTTCTCGCCGAGAAAAAATACACACGTCCGAGCGATGCCAGGGCCTGCCGGGGGGAGGGAGATGGAGAAGGAGGAGGAGGAGGAGGAGGAGCGAGGGCGGAGGAGGAGGAGGAGGAGGAGGAGGAGGAGAAGGAACGAGGGAGAAGGAGGAACGAGGGAGGAGGAGGAGGAGGAGGAGGAGGAGGAGGAGGAGGAGGAGGAAGAGGAGGAGGACCCCCCCGCGAACAAGTCGGCTGGAGCGGCGCTGTCCCTACGGCTGCCGGCCAGAGAGCGGCATGCCTGCGTTGGGGGGGCCATCGCGGGGGGGGGGGGGGGCGCGCGCTGCTCTCCCGCGCTGCCCCGTCCTCCTCCGCTCGGATCCGGACCAGACCGCGGAGGCAGCGCCGCGAAACTCTCGCGCCCCGCCAGGTGAGCCGATCCCTCCTCCCTGCACCTCGATCGCCTCTCGACCCTCCACCCTCGACCCTCGATCCTCGACCCCCTTCTCTGCTTCTCCCGCTCGTCCTCTTTTCCAGCGCATGGACGATTCGGAAGACAGGCAGACACCCGACCTTCTCGGGCGCGCGAAGAGTCCTAATTGTGATTGGCGTCGCTGTGGCACCCAACCCTTCGTGCTGTGGTCCAAGACGGCTTGAAATCGCTAAAACAACGGTTCCGCTGGCCACCGACTTTGAAAATGCTAAATCGACGGTTCCACGCCAGGGCCCACGCGGCAGATTAAAAGCATGCTTCAAAAAACTTCGGTGGGCGCAACATCGCCCGGAAGACGGCCAGCCTGCGGGATCTTCGTGCCCCGCCAGCGGTTTCCAGTGACGTTGAATCATCGGAGATATTGTGCATCGGCGGATGAGAGAAGGCAGCCCAGGGCAGATGAGGATGTGCCTCATCTCTGGGGGGCGCAAAATTGACTACAAATAAGCATAACCCCTGCGTAGACGGACGAGTGTACGCCTCATCTCGACAGCGCTGGCCACGAACCTGCGCGGCTGCCGCAGTTTGGTGGAGGATGAGGAGGAGGCGAGGAGGCGTTCTCACTTGCCTAACTCTTCTCCTGGTGCACCAATGTAAACGTAATGTGTAAGCCTTTGCGCCTACGTCGGCTACGTTTTATGCATTGCCGTTTTTTGGACACACACACAAACACGTTACGATTATAGCCATCGAAACCCGACTAACATCAAAAAGGCGAGGATGTGGAGGATGCGGAGGATGAACAGCAGCAGAAGCAAAGAGACCGCCGCCCGCCTTCTGCCTGCCCTCGGGAGCTGTGCTCCTTCCCCCCCTCGGGGAACCCACTCCATCGACGATATCTCTCTCGAGGGGTGTCGAGGCCGACGTCTGAACAAGCAAAGCCCACCCATCCCCACCAACCAGGGGGGGTATGCTGGGAGAGCCGCCGCACCACCTGCACTGAACCAGCTTGTCATGCACAATGTCGGCGCTCCACGTAGAAAAAACACTGAGTTAGGGACATTCATCGTGACACGGCTTTGCCTCGCGAAAGGCTGTTCTGAAGAATGGGAGGGGGATAGGGAGAACGAGGATGAGGACGAGAACGAGGGAGATTAGGCAGCGTGGTTACCAAAGACGGTTGACACGCGCATCGGCTGCTTAAACCCTGGCCCAAGCCAGAAGCAGAAAGCACCAGCCACTACAGAAGGATGAGGGAGAGGGAAAGGAAGAGGAGGAGGAGAAGAGGAGGAGGAGGAGGAACGAGAGAGCGCAGCTCGCGCGTGCGCAGAGCTGAGCTGCCACACCACCCTGTCCCAGGAGGGGTTGGGATGAATGCGACGATGATGACGATGGGCTCCCAAAACCTTCCAATCAACGTTGCCAAGAAAAGAAACACCATTTCCCCGGTGTCAGCTCTTCGTGCCAAACTTGTTCGCGTTTGCTCCAAGGCATGATAACAGCCCCTGGTGTTTACTTCGAGATATTCGCGATAACGCCCGTTACCGGCCCCGCACCCCGCACCCTCCAGGTCACGTCAAGATTCGCGCTGGCGCCCGCGCGAACCGTGACATGACTGGACTTCCTCCGCTTCCCCCCCGGTCACGCCCGTTATCGCTACGGGATGAAAGCTGTTTCCAGGGTGCCGAACTCAAAAAACAAACACCGAGATTGAAACAAACATGTCGTCGGAGGCCTGGCTTCGGCCAACCAGCGCGGCCCAACCTAACCTCGACAGAAGGCCGCGTCGACCAGACGGCGGGCGATAGCCTGGCCTCCTTCTCCTCCTCCTCATCCTCCTCCTCCTCGTCCTCCTCCTCCTCCCCCTCCTCCTCCCTCCACCCCTCTTCCTTAAAAACAAACCCTCCCCGTCGAACCCCCCGGCGTGACGATAGGACGGGGGTCTGAATGGGCTCTCGCCTTAGCGCCGCACACATTCATGTCACACGTTTGTAACAACTACAAAGATGGAGGGTTGCTCCTTGTCAAAACAGACTCTCTCCTAAGCGCCGTGCGCACTCGCCCTATCAACGTGCAGCCCATTTGACAATAGGGGGCGGCTCCTGTTCAAAATGGGGCCCTCGACTTGGCAACGCGCGCGCACTAACCACAACAGTTGGTAACAGCTACAAGAGTGGAGGACAGCTCCTTCTCAAAATCGGAGTTTCGCTCGGACCAGCAGCTTGAACAGATGTAACAGCTGTTCGGGTCGAGGGCGGTCTTTTTTTCCACAGGGATGTCCCATAGTTTGACCGCCAGACGTCATGGACCTCGGCGACAGTTGCACGGATTGCGGCGGGTCTTTCCCAAAACAGATTTTTGCTCGCTGGACAACTCGCTGATGCGCATGATCGAGGGCGGCCAAGAGGGGGGCGTCCAAGAGGGGGGGGGGCGCAAATCATGGCCGGCGGCACGTGCGCGGCCCAGGGGGGGGGGGCCAAAGAAGCAACGAAATAAGAAGAGGCGCCATGAATTCTGAGGAGATATCACGGCCCACGCAATGATATTCTCCCCCCCCCCAGTCATCGCCCCCCTCCCGGCCGCCCCCGATGCCTGCTCGCGTTCCGCGCCGCCCGCTGGGCGGATGCAAAGCAGACCTCTCTCAGGGCGGGGCTCGCCTGAAGGGCGGGCCCACAGGGCGCATGCCGCTGCAAGGGGGGGCGCTGCTGGTAGCGAGGGATGTTGTTGTTGTTTTCAATTTTTCATATGCAAACCAAAAAAACGGGCGATCGCCAGAACAATAACTCCTCCGCGTAGCCGACGCGCGACGGAAAGGCCCGAGCGAGCGGCCGAAAGAAAGCGAAGGGCGGACCCAGGGAACCGCAGACAACGAGCGGATGGACACGACCGACAGAAAAGGGGGCACGAAACAGCGAGGGCCCGAAGCTACCAAAAGAGATGCTGGGAACGCCCGAGGAGATCTCATCGCCCCAATCCGGAGCCTGAGCGGGGGAGACAGGCACATCAGAGCTGCGCAAGGTTTCCCAGGCGCAAGCGGCACGGGCGCGCGTCCCCATTGCGAGCCAACGCTCGCGAAGCCTCGCAGTCAGACAGCCTGAAGGACGGGACGCGGTTAAGAGCGGGCAGCAAAAGACCAGCCATGCCCGCAGAACAAAGAGAGAGGAGCTGGCCAAACCTCTCCTCTGTTGGCGAGCCTGGGCAGCGCGCGGCACAAATGAACGAGGGCACGGATTTCCCCAGCGCAAGCGGCACGGGCGCTTGCTTCCATTGCGCCTCAACGCCTGTGAAATCCTCGCAATCAGGCAGCCTCCACGGGCTGGAATGATTGGCTGGAAGAGGCGGCCCGCCAGCCCGCAGCAAAGAGAGAAGCAGGTGGCCTCTGCATTGCCTGGCGAGCCTGGGCTAAGGAAATTACAGCACATGAAAAACAATGGGAGTCTTACAAAATATTCAATTCGCGGGTGTCGGTATCCAAGAGACCTCCGCATCGCGGTCAGATAAGCACGCAAGAGATATCACCCCCTCCTTGCCAACCCCCAGAACCAACCATCGGGATGCAGCGGCGGCTGCAGAAGCCATTTTAAGCCGAAAAGGGCCAGGAAGTTAAAACGCATGATGGGGTTCTGGGAAAACATAGCTGACGCTGGCGCAATCAACTGCGCAGACATTCCCGATCAGGCATTTAGCGCGTGGAACACGTCCATCACGCATGAGCCCCAGGCGGGATAACGTGCCCCTGGCTCGAGGGGGCCCAGTGCAATTCCGAATTAAATCATTGACATTGCTTCTAGAGTAACGTCCACGGCGGCGGCAGACAATGTCCTGCAGCGTTCGGAGACAGCGCCCCCCGCCCCCCCCCCGCCCCCCACCCCACCCCACCCCACCCCACCCCACGC